CCCCCCCCCCCCCCCCCCCACACCCCGTGTAAGAAACCTGTTGCATACTCCGTTCATATACCAAACATATACTCTGAAATTACCAAGTTTATCCCTGGTGCTATGAGAGTATTCTTTTCTCTTCTTCTTCTGATTTTTTTTAGTTGACAAACAACTTTTAGGTACATTACCACCACCTTCTGCATTGGAACATGGATCAGTGAGTAGAGAATTTATTACAACATCTGTGTGTGTCTCATTTTTCAGGTAGACTCTCTCCTGTAATCATACCAACCACCTGCAGGTGGGAGTGGCCTAATTAAAGGGGCCACACCTCCTCTGCTGCAGCGTGGCTGCTGGCCTCCCTCTACAACTACACTTTAGTTAGAATAAAAGTTTTTAGTGACCCCCAGCTGTTGTGTTGTCCTGTTGTTGTTCCTTCCCTTTGAGCCAGGGGGTTGTAACACTGGTGAGTGTGCTGTAAGGATCAGGTATGTCCCCATAAATAATCACTACACTCAGTTCATACTCAGTAATTCCTGTATAAGTACCAGATACATATCCTGTAATTACAATGTATGTACCCAGTTAATACCCGATACCCGTAAGTACCAGGTACATGCCTGACAGACTGACAAGCCTTTGTTTTTTTTATTAATTTACATTTTTATACACGAGCTTGTTGACTAAACAGTTAAAGTTACATGGTTCCTGTTGACCTTACACACTGAATAAATAAAGTATTTCACAACTTTACATTTCCTGTAAGATGTCAACCCTGGTGGTACATGAATCAAAGTTTTATTTATATTTATTATTTTCAGTGATAACAGACCCAGCATGTTAGAGCTTTTAGGTTTATTTATTTATTTGAAAATGCAATAATAAAGTGTGGAAACATTAATGACTGTCCATTCTGTTTTCTTCTTTATAATTGTGAAGAAATTTATTGGGGTTTAGGTTTACATACTCATTTAAATTATTATATCTATCTTATGATAGAACTGTAAATATTGCTAAATGTGACTGTTTTACTTAACTTGATGATTTTATATAAATAGATGCCTGAACATATATTCAACACATAATGACTGAACGTAAAGAAACACCAGCCAAAACAGGAATTATGTCAAGAGAATTTGATCCTGGACGACAGAGTTCCCCTCTTCAGTGATGATGTCACTCGCAGAAGGCGGAGTCAAATTCTGCAGGAAGTGATATAAGGAGCATGAAGTCCTTGTTGTTTTGCTGACTGTAGGGACGAGCTACAGAGCTAATAAATCCTGCTGTCAGCCCAGCGCTGCTGGTGGTATGACTCACTCTTCACATTTACTGTGAGTGGTTCTGAACACGTATTAAGGTAAAAAAACATGCTAAACTGTTGCTCATCTTTCCCTTGTTCAGACCTGGAAAATGCTGAAAATGTCATTCCAGACTTTTTAACTGTGTATAAAAAGCTGTGAGGTCAGAGCTGTTCTAAGAGCCTTTGATCCTGGTCCCGCTCTGACTAGCCATTAGCTCCTCAGTCTAGTCAGAACTAAACTGTTTCTCCAAACAGATGTCGTTCTTTAACTTTCCTCAGAGCCCAGTTCAAATGATCTGAAACATCCTTTAGCCTAATGTTCATGTGTTGCCCTGGTGCAGTGACACACAACACGACTGCCCACTTCCCCACCATGCAGCCCTGTTCCTTTCATGGTGATAATTTTCACTACAGTTTACTGAAACTGGATGAGATGGCAGGTGTTTGTTTTTAGGATCATTTTAAAACACATTTCCAGAAGTAAAATTAAATGTTTTGTCTTCCCCTCAGATGATTTAACATTTTACTGATTTTCTCTCTAAATCCTATAGTTAGAAACTGATTATTACTATATTCTCACAGCTTGGAACATTTTGATGTGTTCCTTCACCTGCCATTACCTGGTTATTCAATTTCAAGGTAAAATATTTATATTTGTAGGTAAAGTGAATTGAAAAGAATAAAATGTCTGAGAATTAAACATTCTAGGGGGTTAGATAAATAATTTTCATTTAATAATCAGTTGTAGTACAGTAAAGTTTTGGAGAATCACCATTACGTTTGACAGAGGGGGTATGACAAAATGGCTCAGGGGGTACACACGTTTAAAAAGGTTGGGAACCACTGCATCATGGGATAGGCTGGGTCAAGAAGGATCCATCGGACCAGTCCCTCAAATCGGGGACAAAGGAGGACACATTTGTCAGCCACATCGAAGGAGTCTTTAAATTTGGACAGCGGCGCAGTGACGTAAGCGGCCGACCAATTCGGCCTTCGGAGGACGCAGCCCTGAATTTGGACACAGTCATCGTAGACGTACACTCAGTGATTACTTCCTGAAATGTTCACTAAAATCAATTTAGTTGTTCGTCAACTCTTTTGTCAACAGACGGGGTTTACTCACAAACACACAAAGACACTTGCAAAAACAATATTGTCCACAGATGGGATAAGATCAGACTGGCAGACTCATTGTTTCTGAGCAACTGTGATGTTTAAATATTTCAGTTTAAGCCCCAGCAGGACTTTAATGCAAACTTCCACCCAGACTGAAGGGGATGAACTTCTGAGCCTGCTGAGCTCCGATCTCAGCCACATACAGAGCTCCAGTTGTCAGATCCAGGTCCACCAGGTGTGGCTTCACATCCTCAGACAGCTGGATCACACTGATCACGTTGCACTGACCAATCAGGCCTACAGGTGGTGCATCCAGCAAAGAAATCTGATTGGTGTTTAGCTGGACGACAACAAAGTATTTCTTGTCTGGAGTGAGGCGAACTGAATAGGGGGCGTCCTCTGTGAAGCAGCTCCCCCATGTGCCCAGCCAGTCCCCTGTGATGGAGTTGAAGACCTGGATCCGTTTGTTGCCCCTGTCAGCCACCCACACCCTCTGGGCGGTATCTACTGTCACACTGTGGGGGATGTAGAACTGAGCCAGGCCTTGTCCTTTCTCTGCATGCATCCATAACACTTGGTGTTCTTTGGAGAGCTTGATGAGGCGGTTGTTCATGCCACCATCACCGTCCACAATGTACAGCTCCCCCGAGTCATGGACAAAGACCTCAGCTGGCTGGTCAAACTGCAGAGGGTCCAACCCGGAACCGGCTTTCCCTGGGGTACCAAGCACCTGACACATGCAAGCAAAGGTTTAAGATCCAGCAACAGAGAACAGCCGAACCCTACAGACTCTCAGCTACTACCAGGCCAAATTTTTACCTTGATATTTTTGAATTTAATGAAGTTATGAGCATTTTTCTTTTAACTAATGCTGAACAAAATGTATTCATTTATACAGGTCCTTCTCAAAAAATTAGCATATTGTGATAAAGTTCATTATTTTCTGTAATGTACTGATAAACATTAAACTTTCATAT